CCCACGGACCAACATGGCACGGTCCACTTTACACCTCTAAATATAAAATGGTATTGAAAATAGGCCCCTCCAACATTGTCCTACATCAACACCACACATCATAACATTCTCTGAGACTTCATTAGTTTTAATTAACGTTGTTAAGTAGAACAATCTTACTTTGGTAAACATGATACTGCTGCCTAATGAATCACCATGGTTTATATTTATTACTTTTATTGTCATAGTTTTGTACATGCTATGTATTATTATATATTATATTTTGAGAGCCAAGTCCGCAAAGAGTTGGGGTCACCTGACAGTTTGACACTGACAACAAAAGACCTTACAATGCCCTTGACTCGTCCGCAAAGCTCAAAAATCAGCTACTCAAGTGAATCACGGCCCTGGTGTGGCCTTACGAATGACATTGGAGTGGGGCTACAACAATTCATCAGAGGCCCTCATTTCAAGGTTTTAGCCCTGCGCTATACCAAGTGGAGCAGCTGATTTTTTCTGTCACAAGTCAGTTTATTTAGCGAAGAAGGCTGAATGATAAAGACCAAAGAATCTCCCACGTGACCAATTGGTCCTACATGTTCCTTTAAGAATTATATACCAAATCTATGGTTAAATGGTGCATGAAGGTAGTATAGCTCCACAATCCGAAAGATTGGAGATAACACAAATTTTCTAAATAATGAAGTATCTAGGAGGTAAGCATATTTTGCTTGAAAACGAAAAACCAATCCAAAGTTTCATTTTTTTTTTTCTTCGGTTATTTTGGTTCTCAAATTTGAAAATCCGATTAATTAAAAAAACTGATTTGAAAAACTGGTCTGGTCTAGTTTTAATATTATACCTATAATAAAAAAGAGAAGCCCAATACATGAGAGACTCACCAATACTGGGTCTGGAGAGGGTTAGATATATGCAATCTTACCATAGTTATATATATATATATATATATATATATAATGAAATTCGGTTTTAAGTCGAATAAAAAATTCAGTTTGGTTTCAATTAATTCAGTTCAATTTTTAGCCAAATAATTCGAATGATCATCCCTAGTTATATTTAATTACTTTGAGGGCAAAATTGCAAGACATATTTATGAGGAGAATCAATTATTATATTTTTAAATAAGGTGGTATTTAATTTACCATTTTCTAAAGGGACAAAATTGTTGAGGAGAATTAATTAATCAAGAATTATACTGCTAATAAGGTAATTAGATATATTTTTTCTAATAATCTATTTAAACTAAACTTGGTTTACCATGCAAGAAGCCAGCCTAAGATCAGTGTTACATATCATTGGTTTAGAACATGTTTTTATTTATTTTGTCAAAGTTTTACGAGACCTTAATTTTATTTTGGGAGAATGAGATCACAATCACTAGATTTCAGCATATTGGAAATATGCAATACTATATAACATATAAACGACAGGAGACAATAAAAGATAGAAATTTAAATTACAATAGTCTAAATAAAAATAATATAGTTAAGACATTATATATTAGCAAATATTAAATAAAGATAAATAATGCACTGTCTGAAATTAAAAAAAAAAAAACTTTCATGCCAAATTTATTGAAATTAAAAGCAAAAAATGAGGAAATTACCCAATATTGGTCTCAGCTGTCCAGGGTCTTGGGAGGGGTGGACTGGATACAGTTCTGATGATGCTCACACTTGAACCCATGTTCTCACCTAGGGGTGCCAATTGGATTGGATTTGGTCCAATCTGATCCAGTCCAATGTGAGGCCATTAGAAATGGATCAGGTACATGTTTTGGACCAATTTGGACCGGTTCAATTCAACGTCTAGACCGTCTAATCTGTTCAACTTCATATTGATTTAGATTGGTTTCAACCCAAACTTGGTCCATTGACACATATATTCTTATCTTATATCAATGGACAAGATATTGGCTTAATCCAACCGAATCCAATTTAAATTTGTTATGGACGGACCAGGTCCAATCCAATCTAATAAATATTTTGGACCAGATTGGTCCAATCCAATATGTCTTGTTGGTCCGTCCAATCCGTCCAAATTGATTTTGGACTGGACGGGGTCCAATCCAAAACTAGTCCATAGACACCCTTATTCTCACCTTAACAGTCTGAGATGTAATTTTACTGTTACACCAAGTAATGATGATTAACCTTAAAAGCCTTGGTTTAGATGTACAACTTAGTTTTAGCTATTTTTTTTAGAAGGTCGCATAGGGAAAATTCATTCATCAACAAACTTGGTTTACATCTCTTGTACAATAATATTGAGGAGGAAATCAGGAGCTTGAGACCAAGTTTTAACTCTTGTACAAGTAATAGCAAATTTAACCAATTTATGTGCAGTCATGTTAGTTTTTCTATGAATGTGATAAATCGAGTAGTTTGAGAAGCAATGCAGCAGTTGTTTGCAATCAGCGACTAAGACGCTAATAGACCACGAAGGATCCAACGAATCCACCAACAAACATTTGATTAAAGTGAGGGCGTCGCTCTCAACCAGAATACGAGAAATACCCACCTCTAAAGCCAGTTTCAAACCCTCCACCAAAGCCAGAGTTTCAACGATCAACGAGCTTTCGTTTTGGAAGGGAGTTGCTCTAGCAAAAAGATTCTCCAGCACTATTGCCAAGAATCATACTGCCACCAGAAGAGATGGTACCTATAGCACCATCAATATTGAGTTTCACCACTCCTGCTGGTGGTTTTGACCACTTAGTTGAGTTGACAATCAAAGGGGAGTGAGGCAAGTTGTGAACACTGGATTCATTGAGTGTATTTTGGATAATCATATTTGCAAATATTTGAGCCCGGTTGATAATTGAAGGTTGAGTGGAAAATTGAACCCTTAAAAACCAACTCACCGCGTGCTGTCCAAATGTACCATAACAGGCTTGCGTTTCTCAGGAAAATATAATTTTCACCATTTTGTTCCTTGTCCATCTCCATCCATCGTTCTATCCAGTTAATGAGGTGGCCTACTTCATTATTTATACGAATATTCAAGCTGGAACCAAACTAGATACACCGGACCATCTCACAACCAAAAAATAAGTGTTGAATTGTTTCCTCCTGTGCATTGCATATGGGGCATAATTTATCTGATATGTGGTGGAGCCTAAAGAGATTAGCTTTAGTGGGTAAGAGATTAGAAACAATCTTCCAAATGAAGAGTAGGATATTTGGTGGCAGTAACTTGGTCCTCCAAAATGAATTCCAACTTATGTTTTGAGTCAACAAGTCACTGTTAGAAGATGAAGGAAGTTCATTTAGTAAAGATTTCATACTAGATGAGGTGGAGTAATTATCCCTGGGAGTAGGGAGCCAAACTAATTTATCATCAAAATGAGCTTCCAGAGCAGGCAATTGATTGGATTGTGTTGTGGTCAAAGTAATGGGCCAATTTGTCGTGATCCCATGTTCCCCTCTCGTGATTGATGAATTCAACTACGTTGATATTGGAGAGGTCTTCACTTACTTTAGTCCAATCAGCTTAGATGCCTGAAATCCAGTTATCCACAAAAGCATTATTAACCTTTGTTAACTTCATTAATCTAACGCTATTTAGGTTACTTCAATTTCATGCTCCATAGATTAAAAGAAAGTAGTGAAGGAACTTGATCCATCGCTAGCTAGATCAACTCCAACCAAATTTCAGAATTATTTTAGTTTTCACCCAATCAGAGATTGAGAGAGAGAGAGAGAGGGCATGCAATTTTAGATGCCACGTTAGGAATAAAAAGCATGTATCCCTGCAGCTAAAGCACCTATAACGCTGTCTAGGGTCCCATATTTTGTTTTTGAATCATGAGTTCATGGTTGGACCACTTGCAACTCCACCGGTGTGAGACCGTCTTATAATGCTTGTCCTAAGCCCGGACAAAGGAGAGGTGTGCCGATAATTTGACGATGAATATGACACTGAATAGTACAGAATGGTGAAACAAGATTCATGTAGGCGATGTTGAAACAGTCCTATATATATATAGTTGGGATCAGGCTTAAATGATGATAATGATGATGTGGCAATGAATAATACAGAATGACAACCAAGATTCATGTAGTCGATGATAATGATCATCGAGTCACTTGTAGGTGATTCACCCATTCTCTGATGTGGCTGAGTTAATGGCCAAGTAGCACATCAAAAACATTCAAATTAATGCTTGTTCTTTGAATATGCCACCTGTAAAATTTCGGCCCAATAAGGTTGCCATTTCATCCAAAAACTTGATAGAAGATGTATCTGCAAAATTTTAGTGGACAGATTTGTTGGGTGAGATGGGTTCACCTGAAAAATGAAAATTAGGAGGTATATGATATTGGGGCCTAGCCTTTCAGGTCAAGGATTCTGATCTGACACCTGATTATCTCCCTTTAGCCATGTTGGAGCTGGAGTGCTGGACAGCATTCTTGATTCCCTAAAAGCAGCATATGAATCAAGTGGGGAATGTGTCTATGGAGTTTCGCTCCATCAAAACAACCAATTAAACCAAGGAGAAACAATCTTCTGCAGGACAGGTCACTAATTCTGTCCATTATTTTGCGATATCACAGGGCTTCTTGGGACATCCAGAGAAGCAGAAGTCAAGTTCTGATCTTGTATGAAGGGAACTTAATTAAGAAATCATCCAAGCCCAAGTCCATCCACGCTTCAGGGGACAGAACAGAAACGAGACACTGAGATCATGTGGCCTCACAGTCACAAAATTCAATGGAAATGCCACCACTCTTCTCTTGTGCTATGTGCATGAATGGTTCCCTTTTTATGAGCCTCCTCATTGGGCGTTTGAGCCCCAACTCCAAATGACCAAAAAAACAGAACAAAATAGGTATTGTGAAAGGGCTGAGAGCAAACAGACCTCTGTGCAACCACTAACCATGTTCTACCATGTGAATTAAGCTTACCATTTACTAATACTACAACGCAATCTATTCAATGCATGCACAGAGAGAGACTTTTGATGAATTCTTTAAGAAGTGAATCAAAGCAACCGAGTTTGCTTGGTAAAGGTTCCTGAGCTTTGAAACCATAGACATTGTTCTAAAACCAGTCTTCACCAACTACATTTGCACCAATAACTTTCTTCTCCATCGATCCAAAAATAGCTCCGTCTTATGTGTTCTGTGTGTAAGTGTATTACCCAATACACGTGGATTACAAGTTAGGCATGTTGTAGCTTGTGGATATTTCTTTTACAGTTTTGCTCTCTCTCTCTCTGCGTGTGATACTGTGATTAAGCTGGAATTACGGCGAGAGTTGGGTCATCTATCTTGTTTGCTTAATTAATAAAAACAAACTATTACCAGTCCCGAAGCTCTGACCAAAGCTAAAAAGATTCAGGAACCCGCAAAGCATTTAAGATAGCCAACCAGGACTCACGTTCTTACTTCGAACTTCAATGTTGTACTAGACTACTAGTCCCCGTGATCCAAAGCCTTGGTAAAAAACAAATGAAGGAATTCAGTCCTCGGATTCTATAAGATCAGAGCCAGAAAGCAAATCTCGTTGTACCAGTAGAGCTGCTGCCTCATTCTGGTGCCTGGTTTTGCGACTGGAACAAATGAGAATGAAGGAGTTAAGAAACCAGTGCTGGGTCATCTGTTTGCTTTTCATTGTACTGTCATGGGTGATTGAAACCCAAGCAGCATCACAGCGTCTCACCTGCAACAACCGCCGGAGCAAATGCTTTCTCAAGTACGCGACCTGCCCGGCCGAGTGCCCAACTGTCGTCCCAGTGAACCCGAACGCTACAAAAGGTTGCTTCCTCGATTGCACCGCGCCCACTTGTGAGGCTGTTTGCAGAAGTAAGACGTTCTCCTCCCTCTCTCTCCTTTCTGCTTAAATGCTTAGTTATAATTGTTCTCCTTCCACCACAAATCGGGCTGGGCCGGGGTCAGTCCAATCTGCATGCCATAGCTTTGGGGCCCAACCATAATGAGTTGGGCTAAAGTTGTGATTTGGGGACATCGTAGTCGAACCCTTTCTATAACTGTGATTGCCCCTGATTACTGGAGTAGGAAAAAGTATTAGAAAAATATCGATTCTTTTTTGGTAATAGTCATTATAAAAAAAAAATCTCTAAATGAGTATTCTTTTATCTTGGAATGACACAAATTTTTGCATGCAACTCTTGGAAACTTTACCCTGGGCTATGGTGGGATCTATGAGAATGAATAGGCGCACTACAACACGGATACATCTTTTCATGGGTCAAGCCTCTCTTTAGGAACTTGGATTTAGTCCTCACCAAACTGTTCTCACAGACTTTTGCAACCATCCATTCCATATTTGTATGTTTTTATTTATGGAAAGATATTTCTAATTTACAGCTGCAAGTGGCTGCGAGGACAGTGAAAACTGAATTCGATTTCTCTCTTCAGGGCCCAAAAATCCTAGAATTGCATTAGCTTATCAAGTTCAGATCTGCTGACCACAACATATTGTTGACCACACTCATCCAGCCCCACGTTGAGAATATCAGTGACCACAACATAACCGATGTTCCATGTGTTGGCCAATAGTGTGTGGTGGTCAGCAGATCTAGACTCCATACCTTATACCCTTTATGCCCCGTTCGCTTCGGTAAGTCACTTTGGGAAAGACTTACCCAGATAAGTGCATTTATCCATATTCTTTTATTTCTCATGTAAATAAGGCAATGGCAATCTTAACCATAAAAATTTCATTATTAAAAGGGGCATTTTTTGTCCCATCCAAGTATTGGAAACTTTCTCCTAAATGGGAAAGTTAATTTATCCACCTAGGAGATGAATATAGGAAAATAAACTTTCACTGGTTGACCAAATTTCCCCCCTCTCAAAATCCAGAAAAAGAACACCGTTATATTCATACTATATAAAGTTAAATCACTTAATTTACATGACCAAGGTGTCAGCTCCTTTACGAAGATTAACATATATAGCTTACAAATTACATGATTGCAGTCAGAACCGCAACGATTTCTGTGAACTCGGCACCATTAGATGTTTTAAAAATATGTTTAATGCATTTACTCTACCTTAAATATGGAGGAGACTTCACAAAATCTGCCATCTGAATTATCTAACCGAATTTATCTTCAATTCTTTTAGACCGCAAACCAAATTGCTATAGCCCTGGAGCTGCTTGTTTTGATCCCCGTTTCATTGGCGGAGATGGCATTGTATTCTATTTCCATGGCAAGAGCAATGAACATTTCAGTTTAGTCTCTGACCCCAACCTTCAGATCAATGCTCGGTTCATTGGCCTCCGACCTGCTGGAAGAACCAGAGACTTTACATGGATACAAGCCTTGGGGATCATGTTTGACTCTCACACGTTCACTCTTGAAGCCACACGGGCGGCAAGGTGGGATGACGAGGTTGACCATTTCCGCTTCTCCTTCGATGAAAAACCCCTAATCCTACCAGAAGGCCATCTCTCTGAATGGAAATCAGCAGAGAAAGATCTTAAAGTGGAAAGGACATCTAACAAGAACAGTGTGAGAGTCACCCTCCCAGAAATTGCAGAGATTTCTGTCAATGTGGTTCCAGTTACCAAGCAAGATGACAAAGTCCACAATTACCAAATACCTTCTGATGACTGTTTTGCCCATTTGGAAGTACAGTTCAGATTCCTTGGTCTCTCCCCAGAAGTTGAAGGTGTTCTAGGACGAACTTACAGACCTGATTTCCAAAATCCAGCAAAGCCAGGTGTGGCAATGCCTGTAGTTGGAGGTGAGGATAAGTACAGGACCACATCGCTACTTTCCTCTGACTGTGCTTCTTGTGTGTTCTCTCCAGCTGGGGTTACAACCAAGGAAAGCCTACTAGTAATGGACTATGACCTATTGGATTGCACCAGAGGGGTAAGCAGCGGAAGTGGGATAGTTTGCAGGAAATGAGTTCATCATAGGAATAACTGAAAGGTAGCTGTAGGAAAATAAGATGATTTCTGTTTTGTTCCACTTGATTTAACTTCAATTTCATTCAAATTATGTACTCGGTGTTAAGCCATTTCAAGGAAACCATGTTCTAAAACTAATTTTAGAAAAAAGAAAAAAAAAAAACATCTGAAGCTAAGCTTCTCCAGTACCAACTAGCAGTAAATGCTCTTTCTTTTCTCTGTTTCTAATTGTAAAATATCAGGTATTGCCACTTATCTGGTAACTTTGAAGAAAAATACAAGCCATACCCACTGGATAAAAAATATGTTTCTTTCAAGCAGTAAAGCTACAACATTCTGAGAGAATCATTTCTAAACTACATATTTTACAAACCTATTTTGCCAAAAAAAAAGCAATGGTGACTGTAAACTGTTCTTTATTTTTCTTTTGTCTTGTGAATTGAAAATGATATTGCAAATACAACCAATATCCTAAACATGTGACAAACAGGAAATTAAACCCATCTTAATTCGAAGTTCAAACCAGGACAACAAAAATATAATATCCTTATAGGGGTAGCTTGCAATTTGCAATGAATTCTCAATTGCATCTAATGAATTATATTACAATCCAAGACGTATCGGTGGAAAAATCAGGATAAAAACTGAGTAAACAGATAAGGAAAAACCTTATCAGAGTTGATCAAACAAATTTCCAAGGAATTCTCCTTACCAATTTGAATAAGCCAGGAGGACCAGGTCTTGTTTAGGCACTCCAATGGCCGACAGTGATAATAAAGATTTAACCCTTCTTTCTCATCTTCCACGAGGATTTACCAACTGAGAGAAGACTGCACTGGTTGCAGCATCTTCAGCATCATCATCTGTGCTAGAATTCACCCCGTCAATCATACTTACACTGTTATCAAATGGCGCAAGTGGTGTCAAAGGAATACCAGGAATGTGGTTTGTGCTGTTATCTTCTGGCTCGGTCAATGCAGATGAGGTTTCCTCAAGCTGGAGAGCATACTCGAGATTCCACAAGACATCTCCCATTGTTGGCCTATCAACCCCATGCTCTGACAGACATTTCTCAGCAGTCTCACCATATTTTTTTAGAGATGCTGGGTTTACTTTACCCACCAAAGTGGGGTCCATGATCTGGTCCAACATGCCTTTCTTCTGCCAACTCATTGCCCACTCTGCTATATTAACCTGCTCCCTTGGGAGAACGGGGTTGAGAGCGGGTCTAGTGCAAAGGACTTCCATCAGAACCACACCAAAGGAGTAGACATCTGATTTCTCAGTCAGCTGTTGCCTCCTAAAGTACTCAGGGTCAAGGTACCCAAAACTACCTTTAACAGCAGTGCTCACATGGGTCTGATCCAGGGCAGGACCTGTCTTTGAAAGGCCAAAATCAGCAACCTTGGCTACAAAGTTCTCATCTAAGAGGATGTTGGTGGTCTTCACATCTCGGTGAATAATGCTCTGTGCTGCCCCAGTGTGGAGATAATGCAACCCCCTTGCAGCCCCAATGCAAATCTCAAGCCTCTGCTTCCATGAGAGAGGTGGCAGGTCTGTCCCATAAAGATGGCTTCTGAGAGGCCCATTTGCCATGTATTCATAAACAAGGATCATTTCTGACCGTTCATCACAGTATCCAATCAGAGAAACAAGGTGGCGATGACGGAGCTTGGATAACATCTCAATTTCAGTCCTGAACTCAGCAAGCCCTTGCTCAGATCTTGGGTTCCCCCTCTTGACAGCTACCTTGGTCCCATCTTCAAGTGTTCCCTTGTAAACTCTACCGAATCCTCCCACCCCAAGAAGCAAGCTCTCATCAAATTTGTTAGTTGCATCTATGATCTCTTGGAATGTGAAGAACCGACCAAGGTTTGAGGTTGAGAAACAGCTTGTTCCACTCTTCTGAGAGGTTGTGGAGCCCTTGGTCATGCTCAAAGAATTTCCATATGGCAGCCATTGGTGTCCCTGATGAGCAGTCTTTGACTTCCGGGCTACCAGGCAGCAATAACACAAAGCTATCAATCCGACGAAAGCTGAACTTCCCACAACCAATCCAATTATAAGCCCCAGTTTACTCTTTTTTGAGGAAGCCTTGGGAAGAAGACTGTCGACAGAAGAAAATCCATCCAAACTTCTAGCATCGCTGCTGATCTTCATGATCTCCAATCCATTCAAAATTGCATCAGTGGTTTCTGCCATTGGATCTGGTCCCACACTGATAGTTAAAGTATCCGAATCAATTGAGGAGTTGGACACAAAATCTTTGTAATAAGGTGTATTCAAACCACCAAGTTGGGACGTGTCCAGACTACCATAGCCAAGATCAGAATTGATGTAGACATTGAAGACGAGAATGTTTTCAGTTTTACTCACAATGTCACAGAAGTGTAGTCGGATGAAATAGAAGAAATCTGGATCCACAGGGAAGACCCAGGTAACATTAAAACTTGAGCTAGGGACATTTGCATTTCCCATCGTCTCTGCAGTGGCATAAACCCAATTAGGGGCTATCTCGGGTGTGAGACCCATGGGATATTTTATTATCGTAGGGTTAACTGACGCATTAACAGCAGAGCTGTTCACATGGAGGTACTTCCTATCAATTTCCCAGGTTCTCCCAAGGGTGTCATTCTGTGGTGTGATCAACGGACCCCCCATATTCAGACGGAAAACGGTCTCCAGAGCAAGATCAGAAAGACCACTGAAAGTGGAAGAAGGGGATAAAGCCAATGCCTGATCTGATATCAACCCATCAGGGGCAGAAACCACTTCAATTCCATTAACAAACGTGACTGAGTTGTTGGAAGGGATAAAGGTGAGGACCAAGGTATCAGAAGTTACATTGATGGCATACTCCTTGAAGAGATAAGAACCATTATAGTTCTTAAAGGTGAAGTTGTTCAGGAGGACAAAATCATCCGTGATTACAGTAATTGAAGCGGATCTCAAGTTTTGGCCGGAATCAGGAATAGGATAGAAATAGAGGCGGATCCAGTGCCGGCCCTTTTGCCGGATTCCAAATTTGTACGAGGCTAGAGCAGGGAATACTCGCACAGACTGATAGATTGGAGAGGGAGCACTAGAATTAGAAGTTACAGCTACTGTATTTCCTTGACTTTTTAATACCAATGAAGATTGCCATGAATCAGGAACAAAGGTCTGATCCTGGTAGGTGACGTTTTGAGAAGATCCACAGGCAATCAAGTAGTTATCGACGGGAGTGAAACTACTAGCATGGGAGCCACGAACCGTAAACCCAAGAAAAAGAAGAGAAAGAAGCAGAGGAATCCATTCCAACAGTTTCATTTTCGCCATTTCCCTTAACCCAAATCCTCAAACTCCAACGATCACTCCAATTCCTATGAACCCAAACTCTCAACACTCCAAAATCATGAACTCCGGCACTAATCTCCTACAACCCAAGAGCAGTGTCTAGCTTCTGAAATACCAAAATTTGAGGAACTCTAATCCTTAAAACTCCAAATGTAACAAATCCAAGCCCTTTAGGAACCAAAATTCAAAGCGACAAAATTTAAAAGACCCACGACAAAATCACATTGATACATCAAAATCAATTTCCCACCTACAGCACTTCTACAGAGAAAGGGAGCAAAATCTGACTAAGATCCTAAAACAGCAACCATGGAAAGGAAGATACTGTTAAATGATCAAAAAGGAAGGAAATGGTAAAAAAAAAAAAGAATTGCCGAATATGGACCAAAACCAGCTTTTTTTCCCCTCTTTTTTGGAAAATCGCTAGAAACAGATCAAGATCAGGTTTTCTTGAGTAATCTTACCTCTCTCAGAGACCTACACGCATTTGTGTTGCTACAGAGAGTGATTGTAGTAGGAACAGAGAGAAGACTCAGTTAGGAGCGCAAGTGTAGAGCTACCATGAGCACCATCCCTTGAAGCTTTTCTGCAACTCAACAGCTCTTTCCAGCCTGTAGATGAGGCTGTCAATTACAGTGAAGCAGAGGACCCACATCAGGAAAGATTAAGAAAATAGAATACGCTGTATAATTTAAATAACCCCCATTAGAGCAGCTGTTTCAACGCAGATATTCTATTTTGCTTTTTAACACAGGTATCTTCGAATAGCTATGATTTAAATAATAGAAAACTCCGTGGAAGCTCTGCAAGTTATCTTTTTCTCTTTTATATAAACTTAGAAGAAATGGCTTCCATTGCTGGGACCAACGGTCCCTGGCCCCGCTTTTACGCGGTTTGTAAGTAACGGAAAACCGGGACTTAACGGTGTTACGAAACGGATTTGAAACGTAGGTAGAGAACCGTCGGGTGCGTGCGTTCACGGAACCTTTGCGTCACCTTGACGGCGTTAGATGCTGTATCATCGATTGACGTTAACTGGGATTGACGAAAGTACCCTTAGACGGGCAGTCAAATCGATGAAAAAGTTTGGACACTTTTGGTTAATTCTTAATTGAGGGTACAAGGGTACCTCTGACACTTCCCAAATGCCCACCAAAAGTCGGTTGTGTAGGCCCCGTTTGATGATGAATCCGGCGGTCAGGATCTTCTTAAAATAAAATCAGCATGATCAGATGGCTTTTAACCCACTCGATTGATTTTGGAACTTTTGCAGGAGTTGCAGAAGTTTGCTCCCCCCTCCCGGCTCCCGGTCCAGTCCATGAAAAACAACTTAAAGTTTGATCCAGCGCGTGCTCCGAGAGTCCGAGCTAAGCATTTTCCCCTGCGCGCAGCTCGCTTCAAATCCTCTACATTTCTACTCGTACCATGTCGGTTCTGTTCTGTTATGCGGGTTCAACATGTCGTGTTGGTGAAGCATATTCAGATTGGCGCCAATGACATGAAGCGCTCGTAGTCGTAAGAATAAAACGTGTAGGGCATACATATCATATGCACACCCAAGGCCAAAATTGATGGAGCTAATTAGGGAATTGAATGCGGTGGATGTGGAGCGGAACAGGAACAGCAAAACTGACTTGAATTCGTGCCCATATCTAAAATCGGACCCATTTTTATTTGGGTCATTGGTACGTAGCAGGTTCCGCTTGAAATATCTTGTTGCAGCATTTATTGAACACCCGTGTTTCAGATAAGCTATTATAGTAACTTCATGTTAGAAGTGATAATTCTGGCGTTCAAAACACTCAGACTTTCTATATTTTTATCAAATACAACTATACAAGTTCGGTGGTTTCTGTATAGGGCAAAGCTCGGAATGCCAAAAATTACATCCTGAAAGCCCAAGCCCTCCCAAACGGGCAATGGTTATTTTCAAATTCAATGCTTACTTGGTCTTTAATCTTACTATGCTTAAAAAAAAAAAAAACACTTAAGTGAGCATCTTTTGGACATTAGTTCTCTCTGTCTTTTTTTTTTGTTACAATTTGAAATGAAAGGTTTATATCAAGTTTTTTAAAATCAAACCGTCCAGGGTGATCTTTGGGTCGAATGGTTCAATCATTCAAATCGAACGGACGGCTCGATCTGACAAAAAATTAAAATAAAAACAGTTAAACTATTGAATGATTTGAATGCCTGGGTCAATGGTTTGTTAACTAAATCAATGGTTTTTTGGAAAAAATAATAATTCTGAGGTAAAATGGGACTAATCACCTAACCGGTTCCCAATTTTTTCAGTCCAGTTTGGTTTTGAAAACCATGATTTATATTCGATTAAAAACAACAAAATAAAAAGGTGTATAATTTAGAATATGTTTGGTTTGAAGAAAAAGGTAGGGAAAGGCAGGGAAAACTATAAAAGGTTTGTATAGGTCTCCCTGCCTTTCCCTTCCTTACCCTACTTTTTTTCTTCAAACCAATCACAGCCATAAGAAAAAAGGGTATTTCTAGGATAGAATGTAATGTCTTCTATTTTTGTCCTTACTACAGTTGGGTTTCAAGCTAAAAATAAAAACTAAAATACATTTAGGCTATATTTGGTTTAAAGGAAAAGATAGGGAAAAGTAAGAAAATCAATACAAGATTTATAAAGATTTCTTTACCTTTTATTTTTTTTCTTTCCTAACCAAACACAGCCTTACTGGAAAACGAAAATTTATAAGATTTGATGCTAGCTTTTGATCCCACGGAGTTCTCTTACAGCCATATACCAGCTAAAGAGAGAGAGTCAGGTAGAATTTTCTTTATTGCTTTTTTAGTGGGAAAGGGGTGGCATTTGCTGGTTTTCACAAAAATGAAAACAAAGATAATATCATAATACTGACTAGACCAAAACATGCAGACAAGATAACATTGAAAGAAGTGATCAAATCAATGAAAAGAGTTTTGGAATGAAGGGTTTGTGGAATATATAAACTAGCTAGGTAAGCTAAGCTACCATCCATACACAACGGTGATAGAGCTAATTGCATGATGTTCGGTTTGTTTGTATTTAGTAAGTACAAGAATATAGAGAGCTAAAATTAAATAAACAAAATAGAAAAGGCCTTTCAGAGTTGTCAGTTGTCTGCCAATACGATAAGCTTTACATAAAGTGCATTAATCAGAGCCAACGAGCCACAGAATAACAGGGATTACATTTGCAACTTGCAACAATTAAAGTTTCTTATATATATATATATGGAGACGTGGACTGGACCAAACTCTTTAGCCTAAGATCGATGTTGTGTTTGTGTGTGTGAATATTTTGAAGCGCGCATGTCTCATTGAGTTCTAGTCTCTGCCTCCTCGCTTATGGAGACACGATCGATGTTGGGTTGATAAGAAAGGTATTAAAGATAAAAAGCTTATGTCTCGTTTGTTTTTCGGTAAATTATTTATTCCGATGAAAAAGTTATTTATTCACATAAAAGATAGGTATTATTTATCCGGGTAAGTAATATATATCCATAAAAATAAATTTTTCTTGATCTTTAAATAAATCTGAAAAAAGAATATAGAATTCTTGATTAATGAGAATCAAAATCCCATTGACCAACTTTTTCCCCTCTCAAAATCCAGAAAAAGAAGGCCCCCTTAGTGATATATTAGTTGCTAGTACATCTACTACAAATAAGACATACAATGGGCTATGTAAATCATAAATAGATATAGAACCTAATACATATATCAATTGTTAGTACATCTTCTACTAACTAACTATATATGGATATATAGTTATGCATTTATTCCTAACCCATAGTACATTCCTTGTTTGTAACTAGGGATAGATTCGAGTCGAGCCGAATAGTATGAGGCTCAAGCTCGAGCTCGAGTTCGATTCGAGCTAGAATATTGAACTCGAGCTTGGCTCGAGTCAAAAACTCATAAGCTCGAGCTTGGCTTGGCTCGAATTCGATTTAAGAAAAATATTTTATAAAAATTAAAATTATATATAAAAAATATTTTTATTTGATATTTAAAAAAGTAAGAATTATAATATATATATATATATATATATTATTTTATATAATTTTATTTATCATATATATATATATATTCGAGCTCGACTCACAAGCCTCACAAACCGAGCTCTATTAAGTTCGAACTCAGTTCATTTATTAATCAAACATGTAAATCGGACTCGAAGCTCAATTGAAACTGAACCGAACTGAGCTCGAATAGCTCATGAAGAACTTGACTCATTGCCACCCCTATTTGTAATTGATCTAAACCAAAATATATATATATATATATATATATTCGAGCTCGACTCACAAACCTCACGAACCGAGATTTATTAAGTTCGAACTTGGTTCATTTATTAATCAAGCATATAAATCAAACTCGAAGCTCAATTGAAACAGAACCGAATTGAACTCGAATAGCTCATGAAGAACTCGGCTCATTACCACCCCTATTTGTAATTGATCTAAACCAAAAGATATATATATATTATATATATATATATCGGTTATAGCATAAAAGTGATGATCAATCAACCAATCAAGTAGTTTCTGGCAGCAAAATGCTACCTACTTTTAAACACTTTGGACCATTCCGTGACAGTCAATAAATTTTACCGATAAAAAAAAAAAAATTCTGAGTAAATGGGGCTATAAAACTTACTCCTTTGTATAATTGTTTTGTGACAATTAGTCCTCATACTTTCATGTAATGTTGAACCTCATGATGGTGTTAGGGGTGACTGACAATTAGCAAATATCTGATTTTGATTAATGCCATAGCTCTTATATTTTAGCATTTGAAACTATAGCAATTTTTTTATTTGATTTTTTGGAAACTTTGATGCCTTACTCAAATGGATGAGAACAGTTGGAATCTTGGTAGTAGATGGATAATATTGATTCCCTACTTCGTTTTTTCTCCTGCTTCATCCGACTACATAATGGAGGTAGCCCATCCCCTTAACCCTCCAATCTTGATGGCAGGAGGATTTGATCTCATGCCTTTACTACAATGATTTAGTGATTCTACCAATTGAACCACCATCAATGGTTTCTGCTCTTAAAAGACTACTTTGATAGCCTAAATTTTAAGTTGATTGGGTACATTAATTGTTTGGACTTTGGACTGCTCAAATTATTTGAAATTCTTATCACTTGAATGGTTGAGATTAATCTATTGATCTTAAGAGTCTATTTCCACAAACTAGATCTTTAGGTTGATTGGTACCTCATTTGGATGGATTAGATTGGTTAAACTCTAAATGCGTCATTTGAATGGCTGCGATTCATTGATTAACCTTGGGAGGCCATTTTGATGGTTTAGATACAGGTTTTTTAATATATCATTTTTATTCAACTTAAAAGTTTCTTCTAGAAATTTTGATGTGGTACTTGAATGGCTAAGATTATTTGGTATCTTTGTTACATTATTCATTTATTTGGGTGAGCATTCGTTAGTTAATTAACTCTACTTAGAAAGTAAAAATATAATAATTTAATATTATATCATTAAATTTAAATGTAATGACGTACACCAAAATCAAGATAACTATATACTAAATAATAAAATATTTAAGAATATAATGATCTATTCAACTTCAATTTCCATTAAAGAGTCTACAACGTCTTTAAAAACTTATTTACTAAAATAAAAGATAAAGCAATAAAATTTTCGATGAGCCATTATCAAACAGCCCCCTTTCCCCTTTTCTGGTATTGACTTGATACATCCTATCGAATG